ATTTTAAATGGTTTAAAAATACTAGGTTGGAGAAAAACAAATCTATTATTTTTATATGAAACATAGGACTTCATTTAACATGCTTCGAAATGTCCCAAATGAACCAAATATGCACCATTTCTCCTATTTATCGACATTTTCGACGACCGGCCTGCCTTTGTGAGGTGCATCTTTAACATCAACCAGTAAGGAACGTAGTAAAGTCGGGCTGGGCCGACTATATGATACCCTTCGCCACATTGGGTATATTGTACATATGTATTCTAACAAATTCATGTCATATAGAAATCTGAACCGATCCTATATAGAAATCTGAACCGATCCTTAACTTAGCACACATCATTTTAAACATAATTCAGTACGCTATGACAAATTTCGTGTGAATCCAAGAATATGTAGGATCTTTGGTGCACCATTTACACACAATCGGACGAAAATATATAAGGGAGCTATATCTAAATCTGAACGGTTTTCACGAAATTTAACATACATCGTTGTAGACTTAATCCACTACGATATACCAACGGATTTATAGTGACTTTGGTGAACTATTTACTTCAAATCGGACGAAACTATATGTGGGAGCTATAACTGAATCTAAACCGATTTCCACGAAACTTACCACTCATCATTCTAGACTCAAGTCAGTACACCATGCCAAATTTCGTGAACATCAGAGGATATATAGGGACTTTGGTGCACTACAATAGGTGGAAATATATTTGGGAACTATATCTAAATATGAACGGATTTTCACGAAATTTAACACACATCATTCTAGACTCAACTCATTACGATGTGCCAAATTTCGTGGAAATCAAAGGATATATAGGGACTTGGGTGTACTATTTACCTCAAATCCGACGAAAATATATATGGGAACTATATCTAAATATGAACCGATTTTCTGGAAATTTAACACACATCGTTCTAGACTCAATTCATTACGCTGTGCCAAATTTCGTGCAAATCGAAGGATATAAAGGGACTTTGGTGCACAATTTACATAAAATCGGACGAAATTATATATATGGGAGCTATATCTAAATCTGAACCGATTTTCAAAAAACTTAACACACATCATTATAGACTCAACTTAGTACGCTATGCCAAATTTCGTGCAAATCGAATGATTTTCAGAGACTTTGGTGCATAATTTACCTAAAATCGAGCGAAACTATATTTGGGAACTATATCTAAATCTGAACCGAATTTCGCAGGTCATTCTAGACATAATTCAGTATGCTAGACCAAATTTAAAAGATATACAGTGACTGTGGTGCACCATTTACATTAAATCGGACGAAAATATATATGGAAGCTATATCTAAAATTGAACCGATTTTTCCCAATTTCAATAGGGTTTGTCGTTGGGCCGAATAAGTGACTTATGCCAAATTTCATCCAATTCAGACCATAAATGCTACAGGTTAACATTAACATTTTAACATAGATAGACAGACGGACATGCATAAATCGACTCAGAAAGTGATTCTATGCATATTCTCAAAAGGAACTATGGGTCTATCTCGTTTCCTTTTGCCTAAACATATGCACAAAGACATAACACCTTGTACCGCAGTGTGGTGAGGGGAATAAAAATGAACCAGTATCGAAATTTGTCCTCAAAAATTTTTTTATCCTCCAATAATTCGCAATGCCAAATTACAACTATTTTTGTGTTAAAATGCATTTTATGCCATGAATCTATGCCTCAAAAAAGCCGGATTGTCATATTACAGACTTTTAAGTTGAAAGAAAATTTCGGCTGGAACCCACAATATAACGAAAATGATGCGGTACAGTTATATGGGAACTGTATAAAAGCGTGGCCCGATACAACCAATTTGCAATACCAAACTTCCTGGGAGTAATGGGAATGCCAACGCAAAATTTCTATCGAAAATATTGTGGTCTATATTGTGCCACATATGGACATATCCATATCGATATAAAATTTTATTTTGATCGTGAAGTTTCTGATAAATATTTATTCAATATATTCAGAATCCAGAAGGAAAAATTCGAAAAAGGTCAAGATATGGCCTGATGAATTTTTGTTGGCAACTCTAATGTTCATGGAAAATAATATTTATACCCTACACAACTATGTTGTCAGGGTATTATAGCTTTGTGCAGCCCCAAAAATTTGTAACGCAGCGAAATATTGGTCCTAGACCCACCTTTAAGTATACCGATCGTCATATCTCGACTAGCTATGTCGATCTAGACATGTGTGTCCGTCCGTCTGTCCATTATAATTTGTAAACACGATACAGGCCACAGTTATGGACCAATCTTCACGAAAATTTGCATGTAGGATGGGTTCTGGCCAATGAAGACCCCTATTGTTTTTGGGAAAGATCGATTAATATTTTGGGTATGAAATGGACCAAATACTAAATTTTTGTCGGTTTTTCTGGTTGCTCCAGAGGCCGCAATTATCGCCCAGACATCGTGAGATTTTCCATGGAGAAGTGGATCAGGCCAAAGAATAAGCATGCCTGTTTTCATAAAGATCGGTCAATATTTAGTGTGTCAAATGGACCCTGACTTTTGTGTGAAAAATGACAAAATGTGTATTCTATAGCGTATATATTTACCCCTAAAGGACATAGACCCGAGAAGTTTATATTATATTCAAGAGGAGTGGTTGACCTTTAAATTAATACCAATTATATTGTTGTATGTGCTCGGATGTGGGAGTTACACGTAAATATTTTCAGGAGCTTACGTTTTCATATATTATTTAGTAACATATTGCCACAATAGAGGGGAGGATCCAGGTATGGTCAAGGACAACGCCTATAATTTCTGTGATGATCAGATTAAAATTTTGGGATGAGGTGGACCCAAAACTAAATTTTTTTGTATTTTTTCAAGTCGATCTATAGGCTACAAAACCGAATATCACAACACACGGTGAAGTGAATCTGGACAAGTAATTAGAAGGGCTGTACAGAATATTGGGATATTCGGAAAATATGTCAATGTAAGGAAGAGGTGCTGTTGATCTCAAAAATTTTGTGTCACGTTTAAATAAAACAATTATAACAATCAATAAATAAATACAATTTTATTTCCATAAATAAATAAATAAAATAAACTCATAATGTTAATATCAAAACCAGTAAGGAAAGTAGTAAAGTCGGACGGGGCCGACTATATGATACCCTTCACCACTATGGGTATATTAAACAGGACTATTAACATGACATATATATGGGAGCTATATAGACCGATTTTCTCGAAACTTGGCAGACATCACTTTAGGCTCAATTCAGTACGTTATGCCAAATTTCGTGCAAATCGAAGGATATATAGGGACTTTGGTGCACCATTTATATGAAATCGGACGAAACTATATATGATTTTCACGAAACTTAGCAAATTGCCAAATTTCGTGCAAATCGAAAGATATATAAGTACTTTGTGGCACCATTTACATGAAATCGGACGAAACTATATATGGAAGCTATATCTAAATCTGGACCGATTTTCTCGAAATTTGACAGACATCACTCTAGGCTTAATTCAGTACGATATGCCAAATTTCGTGCAAATCGAAGGATATATAGGGACTTTGGGGCACCATTTACATGAAATCGGACGAAACTATATATGGGAGTTATATCTAAATCTGAACCGATTTTCTCAAAACTTGGCAGACATCACTCTAGGCTTAATTCAGTACGATATGCCAAATTTCGTGTAAATCGAAAGATATATAGGGACTTTGGGGCACCATTTACATGAAATCGGACGAACATCAGACAGACAGAGAGACATCACTCTTGGCTCAATTCAATACGTTATGCCAAATTTCGTGCAAATCGAAAGATATATAGGGACTTTGGGGCACCATTTACATGAAATCGGACGAAACTAAATATGGGAGCTATATCTAAATCAGGACCGATTTTCACGAAACTTGGCAGACATCACTCTAGGCTTAATTCAGTACGATATGCCAAATTTCGTGCAAATCGAAAGATATATAGGGACTTTGGGGCACCATTTACATGAAATCGGAGGAAACTATATATGGGAGGTATATCTAAATCTGAACCGATTTTCTCAAAACTCGGCAGACATCACTCTAGGATCAATTCAGTACGTTATGCCAAATTTCGTGCAAATCGAAAGATATATAGGTACTTTGGGGCACCATTTACATGGAATCGGACGAAACTATATATGGGAGCTATATCTAAATCTGAACCGATTTTCACGAAACTTGGCAGACATAATTCTAGGCTCAATTCAGTACGTTATGCCAAAATTGGTGCAAATCGAAAGATATATAGGGACTTCTGATGCACCATTTACATGAAATCGGACGAAACTATATATGGGAGCTATATCTAAATCTTGACCGATTTTCACGAAACTTGGCAGACATCATTCTAGACCTAAATGATTAGGCTGTGCAAACGAAAGATATAATTTGGTGCAAATACATGAAAAGATATATAGGGACCGTTTACATTAAATCGGTTAAATATATATATGGGAGCTATATCTAAATCTGAACCGATTTTTCCCAATTTCAATAGGGTTCGTCCTTAGGCCGAATAAGACACTAAACATTAATTCAATAAACGTGGATATCCGTTTTATGGTCCCCACGATATAACATCATAGGCCAATTGTATAAAATCATTTATCTCAATGTAATTACGTCTCAATTCACGCCAGGATGCCGCAAGATTAGTTGATGTCTAGGGAAATAATAAAAAGGAAATATTATTAAAACAATAGCCATTTATTCACACACAAGCAGTTCAAAGGAGAAAAGCGACTGCATACCGACACCATTTACTGGCCATGCAGCTGGAGTCCTTTGAACTACCCGGTATCTCCTGCCCATCAATTGCATTATCATTCATTTGTCATACCTTGGCTTTATCCAACAATTGTTTAAATTCTTCTTGCCGCACAGCATTGTAGAGTCGTGCAAAATCACCGCCCTCGGTTACTTTACGCGCCATTAAACCGGAAAAACGTGCACGTGGCAGTGACTGCATAACTTCGCGCATAAACGACACCAAATTCCTTTGCATCATCACGGTGACGGGTACTTTGGATGGTATGCGAAATGAGCGCAATTGATTTGGCAATCTATCAATGGCTGCTGTCACATCCTGTAACGCTGCCAGCGAGACGTTATGCGTTTGCAAATACCCCACCAAATCAAGAAATTCCGGCGTATTGCGTACGCGTCGCCAAGTCTGGCCGAACTGTGAACTTCGCAAATACTTGAGTGCAGTACGAAATTGTTCATCCATAATGAAGTGACGGGCTGCAATGTAGCCGATGCGGTTGCGGGGCACCAGGGCGAGAAATTCACGGAAATCGGATTTAAGATCTGCTTGGGCGCTCGGCACCAAGCAGATGGCAATCACCGCTATAGCGACAACAAAGACGTATTTGCATTTCATATTGATGGCCTGTCGTGTTGGGGTGCGTGTCTATCGTCGTCTAATGAGATCTTTAACTGAAAAGTGTCGAGTCGAGTGTGAGTGGTTTTATGCGTCTATGAAGTGATGTTGGTCATCATGCGGAGCAACAATAGCTACGGTAGCGTTAGGTATTAATTACTTAAGTAAACATAAACGAACGCTGTCTTGTTAGTTTATTGCTACGTTATTTGGTAATATCGTATCTACAAATTTTGTTAGAAAATATCACTTTCACCTTTATTTTTTCCACGAAAATGTAAATACAAACCAAAATGGTTAACGTGGGCTAATTCATTTCAAAGTGTAAATTAATTTAAATCATATAAAATTTTTGCAATGCTTTTGCTGCAAATTCGTACACTAATGATCAATTAAATAAGGACAAATACAAAGTCCCATAAATAGCTCCGAGACCTTATCATATAAGGCCCGGGATTTTTAAAAATTATTTTTTTTATAAGATATGTTTTATTCCTATTTCATAAACTTTGAGAATATTTTTCCGCCTTTGGTCATGCGATACAATTACTAGACGCTATTCAGTTTTTTTCAACACTACAATTATTTTTAGTTTTCAGATTACTCTAAATCTTGTGAACAATAGAATAAATTACCAAACTCCACCAAAATTATTTAAATTATCTTTGAACTAGAAAAATTAATTTTCACCTGACTAGTAAATCTTGTGAACAATAAATATCATATTACCAAACTCCACCAAAATTGTTTAAATTATTTGCAGACATTAAATCACGTAAATATCGAATATATTTTTCAACACCTGGCACTGATAAACTCAACATTCCCCGACAAGTTCAAAATATTTTGGCAACAATTTTAGTTTTGCCATTTCGCTTTATTAAATGTGCCACATGAGTGACGCCTACAGTCATAGCACAAAAAAAAATAATAAAAATAAAAATTCAACTGAAATCCACCAAGTGAATCCTGTGTATTTTTCCGGCTTACCATTCGCTCTCCCGCAACACATGAATGGTAAGCAAAGAGAATAGTTTTAATAAATTTTTAAGTCACTTCGTGCTGATTTGTAAATTTACTAAATAACAGAGACAATTTTAAATGTTTTTCACACACCTACAACGTGACAATTAATGTCGTCCATTAAAAGAGCTCAACATCCTTTTTTTCGCACCAAAAAATAAAACAAGGCGGAACCAACCAAAAAACGAACACCTAGCTAAATGTGGCGTTGCCAAGGCAAGTGCTCTGAGAAATTACAACAAATCCAGTGTAAAATAGTTGTTGGATCAGAGTAGTCGCGTTTGTTGGTTTTTCTTGTTTTTCGCACCGGAACAGATTATTGCAATAAAAACACTAACACTACTACCGTTGGAATTTAAAAATGTCGGCATTTCTGGCAATGACTACCAAAAATATATAAACCCACTAAATTAATGTTAAACAAAATGAATAAACAGCAGCCAACATGCAGTGGCATTCATTGTTGCAGACGTTGCAGTCAGCCGTCGCCGCCCCACCGTCAAAGTCGTCATCGGGGGATAGGAGGACAGACAATGTCGCGGCATTTCTCTCAGTTGCTTTGTTGTGGTGTTGTGTTGGGCATGGTGTTTTACGAACCAACCAACAAAGATGCATTCAAACTGCAGTCATGGGGACGACATCAAAAGACGAATCTGCCACCGAAGAGGAAAAAAGCAACACCCAAAACAAATGGGAATCGCGTGGGTTGAAACAACTGGCAAATTGGCGAAAATGAAGAGATACAAATGTTGCAAAAAAATGAATAAAAGACAACTTACAAATCCAAAAGCAGCTGCAACTATTCGAGGCAAAAACTCTGAAAAAAATGAATGCTCTTAAAAAACAAGTTGGCAAGTTGGAAATTAACAAAACGACCAAGCCAAAACCAGAAAAAAACAAACGCCCAATAAGTATTACGAAAATCATATAAGAAATAACAATGAGAATTATAGTTACACTATAATATTTATACTACCTATTATATAGGGTATATTACGTTTGGCATTTTGTTTGCAACACCACGAAAAAATCATGGAAGACCCCATAAAGTATATATATTCCTGATGAGAATAAATTCACGACATAGATCGCAAAATGAAACTAAATTTTGCAAAGACATTGCTAGTATTTCTAGAATTTTTGGTATAGCCCTTAAATAACGGTACCCCCAATAATCCGTATTTTGGGGGATTTGGGGGTCGTAATTTGGTGTTTTCGGCTCTCAAGCGAACCTTCCTACTACAAATTATTCGATCCCACGGATCCTACGATACCGGATTATCCTAAAACTACACGACCAGAAGCCGCCACCTCATTTATATATGAAATTCTCGGAATTCTTTTGGTCCGTGCCGGGGTCGAACCAAATCCACAACATAATATTGGTTTGCCACAACATCATATGCCTAACATTAGCTTCCTATTGCAGGGCATTTCAATGCTCATCATAAGTTATGGTATTTCGTCCTAAGTAATGGTCAGATGAAAACAGTGCTGACAGAGGTAAGTATAGCTCCTCGTTCTGCACGGTAAATGATGGATGCCCCCATCAGAGTAAGGGGTCTGATAAATGACGTCAACTGGCAGCCGTAATTTCTCTTGGCTCAGACCACCTCTCCATAAGCAGACAGCCCGATTTCATCACCTCTGAAGGCCGTACTTTCGTAACCATAGGTAAGCCATCTGAGGTACGGGTAAGTAAATTCCGGGACATCATTGCACCATAAACCGCTTGATGTATACCTGATGGTCAAATATCCGAGATTATACCCAATTTCCCAGTAGAGGCAGTTGGTCTAGAAAATGAGCGTGACCCAGCAGATCCCAGGGTCAGGGAACCCACTTTGGAGGACAGCAGATTAGTCGCAAAACATAAGCGGAATAAATCGTTTGAACACCTGAAGAATTGCAACTTTGGAACCGATGTGAGTAAACAGGGGACAACGGTTAAATGGCTCACGAACCGTACTAAGAAGGATGATAGTACCTCTGTCACATTTGATGGCAAAACTGTGAACAACCCTTAAAACTGCAGAAGTTAATTTAACCGACTGTTTTCGAGGAGGTACCAGCACAATTTACAATGGGTTATATTACATGTGTCATCCATAACGCTAAGTCATCTAAAGCGTTGGAACTTCACGGAATATACATGGTTATGATGAAACAGCAGCACGAGTCCGGAGTTGAGTACCTGACCAAAGTACTCAATTTGACGATAGCCACCCACATCGTTCCCAAAGCCTCGACAATGGGTAGGATCGTCGCGCTACTGAAGTCAGGCAATGATGCCAGCAAAGGTGAATCATACAGGCCGATTTAACTAAACCAAAATTCTCGGGGTCACATTCGACTGGGTGTTCAAACCATCCGCGCAAACCACAACTATCTGTGATAAATGGAAAAGTAGGAATAAGGTCCTCAAGTCGCTTGCCGCAGCATTTGGTGTGCTGATAAGGAAACCTTGTTGACCTCTTACCTCTGGCTAGCTTTGCGATACCAGTTTGGTCTGCGAATATAAGTGCTACGAAATGGAGAAGTATTCAGTCCTGTCAAAAATCTGCTCTGAGAACTGCAGGAGGGTGCCTTCTCATGACACCAGTGACTCATCTTCATGAGAAAGATCCTTCATTTATGTCAGCATAGCAATATGCTTTCGTTGCAGCACCTGCTTAGTTGGTTCAGGTTCAATTTTAAAACCCCAACCAGACGTGCCAGAAAGGATCTACATGATCTAGAGAGGTCCAACATTATAAAAGGGAGTCTCTAGATCAAGTTGTCTATGGAGCAGGTCTAAATAGCATGATACCGTTGCAGTTGCCGCGGAGCTGAATAAATACAGATTGAATGCCGTCCGCGGAGCTCACCCTCACCATCGCAGCTGAAGAACGTCAGTTGTCAAAAAAACCAAACTATCTTGGATCAATTACGATCAGGTTGGTAAAGTCGCTCAATTCGTATTGATCACGGATTAATGACCACTTGCAGAATCTCTGTCCAGCATTTGCTACCGGCCCTTCACACCACACTGCACTTATTCATTTTTCCTGTCAAATCTACTCAACGCACACCAGAATGCCAGTGGAAGTAGATGGATTTCTTAACTGGAAGACAAGATCAGAACCAGATTGTATCGAACAAGAAGTATGACACACATATAAAACAGCTACAACAACAATAAATAATAATAATTTTTAGTTGAATTATTAATGTTAATCCAAGTTCCGTAGTTGTCCTCATATAGCGGTACCCCCAAATATTCGGGATTTTCGGCTGTAAGTATATATTTTGGATTCTTATTGGGTGCCAACCAAAAATTATCAATATCGCTTTGCTATAACCTCCATAGTACAGTAAACTCAATATTCGGTATTTTGAGAATCTTTTTCAAACGTCACGCGCCAGATTTGGTATATCCAAGGTACTAGCCTAATCTGAGTGTCTGTATGTTGGTATTTATTTGGATGTCTACCTCTTAGTGGAATTCAGTCCGGACGAAATTAAGAAAGAAAGCCTGAAATAAAAATATTAGCCCCCAATCATTCTTATTAAAATATTATATTATTAAAAGTTCCCACCACAATTCTTTTATTTAAACGTGTTCTTTTAAGTATTTTACTATTGGTATTTACATTTCCAAACATTATTGCTTCATCACATTATCAACCCACATTATCGAATATGTTACATCTCCTTTAAACAACTTAACACACCCGTGCCACATTATGAATAGGATGTGATAAAAAAAATAATATAAAGAAAAATAAAACTTAACAGTAAAACTTAAATGCCAAGCATGCCGCCAAACATGATAAAAAACCATCATCAACACAGCGCCAGTGACGACGACAATCAAAGGCAAAAACAACGCAACAACAAACATAAAATACAACAAAAAAGAGACACTCAAAGAAAAACGATTACTGCCACAACAAAAGGATAAGTAAAATCAATTTACTGTTTCACATTTGTATGTT